CAGGACGAAAAGCCCATTTTCTATCATGATTTTTTGTCATAGAAGTAGGAGCCCACCACATCTATGATGATACCGGGTTTTGTCACAATTATCATCATAGAAGTGTCATAAGTATGACAAAAAAAATTTGTTCGGCCCAAAATGTCACGGATGTGTCTTTTTTTTTGTAGTGTATGCACGGTTTGGAGAGTCCATGCACCCCCTCCCCCCTCTTTCACAGTTTAAGTATCTACGGGTGCATTTGTTTGAGTTTCCATATCAATGGGATACAATAGTTTACCTCACTGCAATTGGTCATTTGTTTTTACCAAGGCTGAAGGTTTCAGCCATATCAGCTGGCATAGCACTCCCAGCTGAAATTCAAGGGCTTGCTCTCTAGATTTACAGTGCAATCCCACACAAAGCTTCCCATCAGATATAACTGGCTTGATCAACTTGTTTCACTTGGTACTACCGTATGGCACTGTGCTGCCTGAAGGAATCCAGACTATGAAATCAATCGGCACCCTGCATTGTTCGAGCATCTCAGATAGTGCGCTAGAGAATATAATAGGCCTTAGCGAGCTGACCAATCCGAAGGAATTGACCTTGAGGATGCTTTACCGCCAATGCTTGACAATAGAACAAGTGGATGCTTTGGTCTCCTCTGTTGGAATGCTCGGAGGCCTAAGGAGCCTCTCCCTCAAATGTCATCTTGAATGGGATGGTAATGGCAGGTAGCTGGAGTCATTACCTGATCCTCCTCCCGATCCCGAGGTACTCGATCTGTCAATGTGGGAGTTTGGTAGAGTTCCGAAATGGATTGGTGAACTACATTTCCTACGGGTTCTCTCTCTTAACGTCTTGCACCTGTCGAATGACGAGGTTTGTGTTCTTGGAGAACTTTCGTTCCTCGTCCATGCCTGGCTCCACGTGTCGAAGGTCTCCCAAGACAAGGTTGTGGTCGGCACGCGGTTATTCCTTGTTCTGAAGTACTTTGCGATCCGGTCTGATGAAGATGTCACCACGTACCTGAGCTTCGAGGCAGGAGATATGCCCATGCTACAAACGCTCGTTCTGTGATTCGGCTGAAAAGAGTGGAGAGGTTCTACGCCGGTCGGCATGGAGTTTCTGACCTGCCGCAGGGACATCCGAGTGTGGCTCTAACACACCGACATGGGTCAGGCAATCGGTAACACATAAACGCCAATGTCGAGTCTCCCTTCAAGAAAGCCGCACGGGTGCACCCAAGAGATCCATCAGCTTAACAGACACCTAGTTTTCTAAAAAAGAGATTTAAAAAAGTCATGAATTTGGAAAAAGATCACCAACATGAAAAACAGTTTGTGAATTTTAAAAAGTTCATGAATTGGAGAAAATCTTCAAGAATTTTGGAAAAGTTCAAAAATACGATTTTTTTTGCTAATTTAGAAAGTTTTCTAAAAAAGAGATTTAAAAAGTCATGAAGTTGGAAAAACATCACCAACATGAAAAACAGTTTGTGAATTTTAAAAAGTTCATGAATTGGAGAAAATCTTCATGAATTTTGGAAAAGTTCAAAAATACGATTTTTTTTGCTAATTTAGAAAGTTTTCTAAAAAAGAGATTTAAAAAAGTCATGAATTTGGAAAAAGATCACCAACATGAAAAACAGTTTGTGAATTTTAAAAAGTTCATGAATTGGAGAAAATCTTCATGAATTTTGGAAAAGTTCAAAAATACGATTTTTTTGCTAATTTAGAAAATGTTCACTAATTTGAAAAAGAAAATCAAAATATATTAAAATGTTCACAAATTTGGAAAACTTTCATGAATTTGTATAAATTCTATGAATTTTTAAATGTTCATGGACTTAAAAATTCTTCATGAATTTGAAAAAACTTGCAGATTTGAAATTGTTAACAAAAAATAAAAAATAAGCTCATGATTTTGAAACAGTTTGCGATTTCCAAAAATGTTTAGGAAATTGAAAAAAAAACCATGGAATATTTTAAAAAGGAAAAGAAGAATTTTTTTAAGATGAAACAAAAACCCCTGACAAAACCAAACAAAAAATGGTGAAAGAGAAACCACAGAAAACCCAGTGGGAGGAGAGATATTGGGCCACAACTCGCTTAGATGTACCACAACTGGATCACTACCCGATCCTCCTCCCCGTCTCGAGGTACTTGATCTGGCAATGTGGGAGTTCAGTATAGCTCCGAAATGGATTGGTGAACTACATTGCCTACGGGTCCTCTCTCTTCAAGTCTTGCACCTGTTGAGTGACGAGTTTTGCGTTCTTGGAGAGCTTCCGTCCATCTGGTTCGACATGTTGAAGGTCTCCTAAGACAAGGTCGTGGTCGGCACGCGGTAATTCCCAATTCTGGAGTACTTTACGATCCGGTCTGATGAAGATGTCACCTCGTACCTAAGCTTCGAGGCAGGAGGTATGCCCATGCTACAAACGCTCATTCTGCGATTCGGCTGGAAAGTCGGCATGGAGTTTCTGACCTGGCTCAGGGACATCCGTGTGTGGCTCAAACACACCAGCTGTGTGTCAGGCGAAAATCGGCAACACATAAGCGCCGATGTTGAGTCTGCCTTCAAGAAAGCCGCATGGGTGCACCCAAGACATCCATCTGTCTCAGTCACCTTGCTAGCCGGTTAATTAATTTATTTGTCATCACGTGTAGAATTTGGAAATGTTTTGTCTTAGTAAAACTTGCCTGTATCTCGAACAGTATGTGTATTTATAGTTGTATATTTCTCAACGTGTTTAATTACAATGGCAACAGAATATGCACATGCTGCGACTAGGAAGCAACAGAATATGTAAATGGCAACAACTTCAATCACTTGCAGCACCGTCTATCAGAACCGAATCATCACCAGCGATAATTAATTTGCTGGTGAGGTCTGATGGTCGCTGCAGGGGTGGAACACATGGATTCAAATCAAAACTTTAAGAGTAGGGACCGGAGACGATCACATCAGACATAAACTGGTACATGGAGCTCCCAACTCAACTAATCCAAAGCTCAAAGGAGTTAATTTCTGCTTCCCAAACAAACAGAGACAGATGGAAAAAAAATGTTACATGCAGCTTAAGAGATAGTAACAATCTCGATTTCACCTTGAAATTAGCAAAACCTTCTCAGGAATATCAACAACAACTCATATATCCTAGTAAAAGCTTGGAACAGTGTATATATCTATCATTTTGGGGTTAAGAACGAAAAATATATCAACAACAGCCATTGTCCTAAAATAGTTCAGGAAAGTGCATCTTAGGCATTACATTAGAAAAACATCAACAGCAGTGTCCTAAAAATGTCAGCTAGTTAAGTAGAATTGAACATTAGGAACCATGTTATGCTCTACTCCCTCCGTTCCCAAATACTTGTCTTTCTAGGCATTTCAAATGGACTCAACATACGGATGTATGTAGACATATTTTAAAGTGTAGATTCACTCATTTTGTGCCCTATGTAGTCACTTGTTGAAATCTCTAGAAAGACAAGTATTTAGGAACGGAGGGAGTACTATGCAAGGAGGCTGCAATCTAAATAGTAATCAAGTCACAAAACCAATAAAATTATCGCCATTGATAACTTATAGAGAATGTGTTGTATTCTACTACAAGTTACACCAAATTAAGAAATATGTATGGTATGTAAAGGATCACCGATCCTCGCTACCACATTTGAGTAAGCCGGAGCCTAGCTTCAAATATTGACACCACCAATTAAAATTCAGATGAAAAGTAAGATCGCCGAACTCACTAAATCATGCGTATTTAAGTTAAGGCACTCTCCAAGTTCATGCCCAAGGATATCTATCTCCAGGTCCACATCTAAGTAAGATCTTGCAAATAGAAAAACTATGCTCTTCAAATCTCCTGTGACGATTACTTACGCAGCAACTTTCCTGTGGCAGCATTTAAAACAGTATTTTTATTTGTATAAGTATGTACTCCCGACTAACCTGCCTGGAAACAACTGAAAATACAAGGGGCAAATTAAGCAACACCATGGAAATCGGTTACCAGATCACAAACAACCGCAATCTGACAACCAAAACACAAGCTTGCCAATATAAAGGAGCAGTGATGAAGAATGCGTAAACATGATGGCAAGCAGAAAACAGGCCCGCATAAAGAGAGGCAAAATATAACCAGGGCGCAAATTGTGTTCACATGATATTGCTCCAGTATAGTTTACAAACAATTGGATGGAACCCCCTACAATTCTGCAGCTATGAACAGCTAACTGTAAGGCGTGAATTTAACTAATGACATGAAGCAATGATACAAACAGAAGCAGGTGCAGATTTCAGTAACGAAAACAACCAGTGACCGGAAGAAACATATCTTAATCACATTAGAATAGATGGATTTCTTACTAACAAAAGAATATCTACCAGATAAATTGAGGAGCAATTCTCAAAGTGCAGGCAAATCCCAGTCCTAAAATCTGAACACATGAGAGAATGAAACTGACAACACATATTTTGCACAACCATGATTCAGGAAAATATAATTAGACTTTAGGGTTCAGGAATAAAATTACCCGGAAAACACAAAGATCTTCTCTAAGGAATGACAATATCAATATATTAGAGTTCAGAAATAAAATTAACAGTTTCATAGGATTTAGCACTTAGAAATGACCAAACTGGCATGTAACAGCATACTAGAAAAAACAGCCAACATGTAGTCTGGCAAACAACACCAAAACAAGGAAGTACCCAGCTTATCAGACAGAGTGAAAACTTTGTTGCGCCATACACAGTAACCAATTTCCTTGGCCCGTTTTCGGTTCAAGTAAATCTGAAATTAGTTGGCACTTCCCCTTTGCAAGCAGTTGCATAGTCTTCAGCGAGGTGTGGTGCAGCTTCCTTGTGAGGGCATATATACTTCTCCACGAAATCCTTCTCGGCCCTCTTAACCACAGTATAGTAGCTCAGGTTGCGATCCACCAATCTATTTTCCTGGAGAAACTTTACAACGTAATACTGAGGCATGAGCCGGCCTGGTCCAGGCTATAATAGATTATGACGGGCCGATGAGCAATATACACCGGTTCCAACCCCAGTTCAGATAGCAAGAACTCAGACCTGCGCCTAAGCAGGTCTTTAGATCTCTTCAGCAACATTGGAGCCTTAGACAGAGCAATGGCCACCTCAGTATCGGACCACTTGAACGTCTTCTTCAAATAATCCACTTTGGCGGCAATCTTCTCCTCACCAAGGAATGAGACAGCCTGCAGCGCTTCCCTGAACATACCGGAGCCACGGCGCACGCCTAATCTTTCAGCACATGCCGCCATTGCCCGTATGCGCTCCGGGTTAGTTGCCAGTATCCTCGGCGCACTGATACACAGCTTGGCAATATCACAACCACCTAACCCGCACTCCTGCAGGGACACAATATTGGGCTTCAGCACCTTGTCAAGGTCGCTCGAGAGAAGGTGGGATTGATCCTTGAGCAGCCGGCGTAAGTTCTCGAATGAGCCGAAGAGGGGCAGGTAGTAGCGCAGCTTAGGGACGATGGCTCTGCAGCGGAAGCGGCGGTGAGCAAGCGAGACGAGGCCGCTAATCTCGGAATGCGAGAGGCCGAGGCCAGTGAGGCCGTCAACGACGGGGACCAAGGTTCTCTCCACGCCGGCGCAGAGGAAAAGCGGATCTTTGGCGACGACGGCGGCGACATTGGCGCGGGAGAGGCCGAGGCCGGAGAGGAAGGCGAGGACGGCGTTGGGTTTGGCGGGGGATTTGAGGTGGGAGAGCTTCGAGGCGGCCTTGATGGCTTGGGATCGGGTGAGGCCGCAGGTGTCGACCAGGTACTCCTCGACGGCGAATCCACTGGGGTTCGGGGAAACGGGGGCTGCGCCTGCGCAGAGGAGGCGGCGGAGTGAGGAGATGCCAGAGGTGGCGGAGGAGGAGACGGCAGAGGTGGCGGAGGAGGAGATGATATGGGAAGCGATGCGCTGCCGGAGATGGAGCATGGCGGCGGCGGCGACACCGCCGGCGGCGAGGAAGATATTTCTGATGGGATTTGCAACGGCAAGTGCGTATCGGTGGTGCTGGTCTACTGGGCATGAGGTTTCGGCCTTTTATGGGTCCCATCTCTTTCTTTTTTTTCCCAAACCTCATAAATTCTATCGGAAACATTAAAATTTTGATATATCCTTTTTTATCCATTTTGATAACAAGTATTTTCTGAAAGAGGGAGTAGATGTTTAGGCATGAAAAATCTGAGGGTTTTGAGGGCAATTTATATGACAAAAAATGAACTGAGGCTGATTTGCCATGCTCGATAACTAAACTTGCCATCATCGGAGAAGATAATTTGCCATGAAAAATGTTTAATTTATCATGGTAAAAAATATGACGTCAGATTTATAATGAAGTCAAATTTTATTTGGAGACCCCTATAGCTGGCTGGCTGACAAACGCCATGGGGGAGGTTAGTGTGAACGTTTGGTTCTCTACGAAGAATCCCCTCGCGAACATTTTGGTTTGCGGGGAAACCTTCCCCGCATGGACCCCACGCCAGTTAGGCCCTCTGCTAGCCTCTCGGCCCAATACCATTCCCTTTTACACAGAAAAATTAAAAATTTGTAAAAAATATTTGTCATGATGTACATAAAAAAGATAGTATTAAAATTTGACTATAAGCTAAAGTTTTTTTTGGGGCATTTAAAGATCTTGGTGTTAAAAAACTGGCAGTCCTAAAAACACGACAAAAATTTCCGACGGCGAGGAAGAAATTTCCGATGGGATTAGCAAGTTTGCAATGGCAAGTGCGTATCTGTGGTCAAGGTGAGTGAGGAATGGGCTGGCCTAGTTGCACTTTTCGTGCGTTTTGGATTTTCGTTCGTTTGATTTCCTTATTAGCCCTTTCGTTGATTTTGCCTTTTCTTTCTGTTTTTTTCTTTTTTCTTTTTCTTTTTCCCTATTTCCTTTCTTTTGTATTTTATAAAAGTAATAAAATATATATCAAAAAATACTTAAGTTTGAAGCCAAGTTTGTGTTGTGCTAGAAAAATGTTGGTGCAACTTAAAAATTGTTTTTGAGACCATTCGGAAATAAAATACAGATATATTCAAACAAAAAATGTTAGAAAAATGTAAAAATTTGTATGTAATGTATTTAAAAATTGTTAAATGTGTATAAAAATTTGTATCTAATGTATATGGAAAGTGTACAACGTGTATGGTAAAAAGTAGATATCAAACATTACATATCAAAAAAATTGTTAATCATGTATTTACAAAATGTTAATTCTGAATCAAAAATGTTCAGAGGTATACAAAAAATGTAGATCATGTATTGAAAACTTCAAAATATAATGTAAGTTTTCTAAAATGTTCATCATGTAAAGAAAAATGTATCAGATGTATATGAAAAATGTATAACGTGAATTAAAGAACGAACCTAAAAACATAAATATATATTAAATTATTGATCATGTATAAAAATGTTAATAATATATTTAAAAATGTTAAATGTGTATAAGAAAGTATTCTAGATGTATACGTAAACTGTAGAACATATATTTAAAACACTAAACATAAAAACAAAAGTTTCTATATAAAATGTTGATCACACTAAAAAAATGTTAATCATATATTTCAAAATAAAATAAAAATGTATTTTTAGAAAAGGAGACCCTAGCCGCCCCTCCTCCTCCTCCCTCCCAACCCTAGCCGCCCCTCCTCCTCTTCCCTTCCTCGCCGCCGCCTGAGGCGGCCACCGGGCAAGCCCGGGGCGCCAAGGATGGTGGCGGCGGGGTCTCGATTGCCATGCCTCTACATGGGGAACACCTGATCTGGAGCGGCGGCTTCATTGGCAAGGCACGATCGGCTTGCAGCCGTGCGGGCGGTGGATCTGGCGTCCCGGCCGCGCGGGCGGCGGAATCCGGTGGTCGTTCCCGGCCGGCGGGGGTTTCTGCGGTGGCCGGTGCGCACGATCTGGCGCCTCCCCTCCTCCCCTGTTCGTTGTGTGGGCCAGTCGCCGGTTCTGTGCAGGAGGCGCTGCTGGTGGCGGGGATCTAGTTCGGGAGAAATCCCTGGTCGGCCATGGCCGGCCGCGTCGACGTCGATGCCTGAGGGCGCCGTTCCCCTCCTTGGAGGCATCAGTATGGACTGATCCCCTCACTTCCCCTTTCCCTAGGTCTCCCGAGCGAAAGCCTTAACTTTGTTGGGCGGCGACGGTGCTCACGACACCGTTCCTTCTTGAAGGCGCCGCTTTGGAAACCTTGGGGCTGGGTGACGCTTGTGGGTGGTGGGCGGCGGTGGTGCGGCCCTATCCTAGCATGGATCTGCGCCCGTTGCTTGGAGATGGACTCGTGTAGGTGGAGGTCGTCGTTTGGCGTCATGGCGGCGTCGATGGCGGAGGCACCTGCCAAGGTTGGCACCTCAATCTGCTCTGAAGATGGACCGGTGGAATATGGCGGCGACGACACATGTGAGTGCGTCGGACCGGTTTGTGCCCCGGACCCGGTATGTGGTTCGGTCGGGGCCTCCGGCTTTAGATGTTAGGCTTGGGTGAGAGGTATGGGTATTTGGCCCAGCTTGCACCCCTTCGTGATATGGATTGGAGTAGCGGCAGATGTTGCCAAGATGACGGATTCATGTATATTGTTGTACTACTTTGTAAGGTTCTTGAGAATAATCAATAAAATGACCGCATGCATCTCCCAGATGCAGAGGTAGGGGGTCATCCTCCTTTTCTAAAAAAATACATATGTATTGTTGAGACAAATAATAGAGGGAGTGTAGCACCCATGTTCTCTAGTCCCATGTATTTCTCGTTGCTTGGATATATATATACTACCCAGTGTTCACACAAACAAAAGCAAACATACAGGATGAGCTAGTGGATTTGAAAGATTAGTACCTTTTAGCTAGTATTAAAAGGTTATAAATAAGAAACATAGCGGATGAGCTAGTGGCTTTGAAAGATTAGAGAAGAATGAAAGAAGTCGTGAGCTAGAAGCATTCAAGAGTAGGAGGCATCAGTAACAAGAGGAACATCCATGAAAACTGTAGGTGATAGGGTCGAGAATAGGCTAGAAGTAGCGCACACTATCACTGCTGACAACATCGAGGAAGCTGTTGGTGAGTCACCATAACACAACATGAGCAGGCTTTCACGGCTAGGAGTTACAGTGATGGTGCCTTGCTCCTTCCTGCCAGTTTGTTTCCAGTTTGCCGTCTTTTGTTGTGTCTGTTTGCATTTTGTATCTAATTGATTAATGTCACTACAGGAAAAACACATGTTGTTTTGTGTTTCTTGATAAGGCGACTGTGCTTCATTGGTCGCTTGATTTGTAGCGTCTTAAGACATGTGTTTGCGTCAAGGCACACAGTGAAGGACGGCTCTGGTGACTCACCTGGATTCAAGGCAAAACAGACTCCATTGATATAAGGTGTATTAGGTTTTTAAAAATTCCAATTTATTCAACTTTGACAAAGTTTAGATGCAAAAATATCGACAACTACAATACTAATTAAATATAATATGGAAATTAGTGCCATGATGAATCAAATGATACCGATTTGGTATTACAGATGTAGATATATTTTTCTACAAATTTAGTCACTAAAGAGGTTTGACATTTCAAATAACTAATACACCGTATATTTTAAAACAGTGGGAATAAGTTTCTTTTATTAAAAATCGAATAACACCAACGGTGCACAGCAAAGCGCACCCAACATTTATAGTGTGTATGATGACTATCTTTAGTCACTGACATGAAGATAATTAGTATTTTTTACTCTCCGGTGCCCATCGTGTAATCAATACTATTTACTCTCCGGTGCCCATCGTGTTGGACTAACTTTATAGGAAAAAGTACCAATATTCACAGTATGAATCAATACTACTAGATGCATCACAAAATTAATTTTCATAAACCATATAATGTTGGTATTGTAGATGTTGACATTTTTTTGATACAAATTTCGTTAAACTTTGGTTAGTTTGACTTTGACCAAATTTTGTATGCAAAGTATTTCCTACGAAAAAAATTATAAGAGCGTTTAGATCACACTAATGTAGTGATCTAAACATATTAGTTTACAGGAGAAGTAAAAAGAAACAGAGGGAATACACAAAAACCAACACGAGATTGGCATGTGAGGATTTTTCTTCACGACACATGCGTGCACCACTTCACAATTTTTAAGAAAAAGAGAGCCGGCGGCGGCGGGCATACGGGAGTAGGGATCCACGCCGGCGTCCGGGTGGCAGCGCCTGGGCGGAGGCAAGCGCCAGCGAGCGGCGGAGATCTCGTCCTCCCTCCCCTCAGCGCTGTCCGGCAGCAACATCCACAGCAGATTGCAGCTGCAGATCGACGGTGAGCATCGGCGAGCTGCGCCGTCGACCACAGAGCATGCTCCTCCTCCTCACTCTGCTTTCCTTCTTCCTAATCCCAGATTCATGCCCAGGCTGCGCAGGTGCGGTAGGGGGTGAGCGGCGGCGGCGTCCTCTGCTATTGCCCGATTCTTCCAAATCCTAGGTGCGGCTATGAGCCGCCGCGTCGTCCCCGTCGGCAGACGCATCTTGGAGCAGAACATCAAGGCTCGGTACCACGCCGGAGACATTGGCACCGAGGACGCACTCCACCTGTTTGACGAATTGCTCCAGGATGCTGGGCGCTCCTCGATCCATGCCATCAACTGCCTCCTCACCGTTGTCGGCCGTGATTGCCCTGCGCTCGGCGTCTCCCTCTTCAACCGCGTCGCAAGGTCCAAGGTGGCGCCCAGCAGTATCACCTATGCCATTCTGGTCGACTGCTGCTGCCGCGCTGGCCGCCAGGACCTTGGACACACTGCCATGGGACACGTCATCAAGATGGGGTTTCTTGCAGATGCCATTATCACTTTCAGCCACCTGCTAAAGGCCATCTGTGCGGAGAACAAGACCAGCTACGCAATGGACATCGTACTCCGGATAATGCCCGAGTTTAACTGCATGCCAAACATTTTCTCCTACA